AAAGAGAGCTGGGGAATGGGAGGTTGTGTAGGGTTTAGAAATGTCCTATGGTTTCAATTGGTGTATGAAAGTGGAATCGTATCTAGATATACAAGAAGTTTGCAGATACTTGCTATTATTTTCAACCTGTAATGACCATGGAAAAAAATTCTGGACTAAAGAAGTGTTGCTAATTTTTATGTTTTCAAAAAATTTCTTATAGATGCATTTCCTTTTGATCTACAGGATGTTTGCAGGTTTGGTTTGATATTTTTGTATTTTGATTGAAATCTGTTTGATAAAGCAAAGGTGGTCTTATAGATAGATCATAAGATGGAAAATTATGAGATTTTGGAGCAGATTGGGAAAGGTTCCTTTGGCTCTGCACTACTTGTAAGGCATAAACAAGAAAAGAAGAAGTAAGAAGATGTGCAACCTTTTCTAAGTACATCTGTTATACTTTGTTGTTTGTTACTGTATTCAGTTTATTTCATGAATTATTTCATTATTGTGTTACTCAGTTTATTTTTGATTTCTGACTGTTCTTTTTTATTTTCTTCTGTTCCTAAAGATATGTTATGAAAAAAATTCGCTTGGCTCGCCAGACAGAGAGAACACGCAGATCTGCCCATCAGGAGGTTAGCCTTTTATCAACTTTCTTTGCGAACTGAGAGAATGAACAGGGTAGTTACATTTTTTTAGGTATCTCATGAAGAGCTTGAAGACATCTGCATATCTTGGCATCTAGATAAGAAATGTCAGAAGCACTATAGGATTCACTATTATTGTCTTAAATTGTTAAGAAGTTGTGCAATGAATTGCACATTCTAACGTGATAGAATGAAGGTTATGTGTGCATATGGGTTACTAAAACATTTATCGAACTCTTTGATTTGATCAAGGCCACAAAACAATGAAAAGGCTTTTGTTGATAAAGTGAAGTAATCTTCATTGTTGTTAAGGTCAATGATACTTGCTTATCTTGAATGCACTTGTAAGACTCTAACTTGAGTAGAACCATTCTGCTTAATCTCTTTTTTTCTTCCTTCTATTTCTTGAGGAAGACCAGGGAATCTGTAGGTGCAGGTTTCTATGTGCAATTTCTGAACTGGGTTCTTTATTTTTCAGATGGAACTGATTGCAAGAGTACGAAGTCCATTTGTGGTGGAATACAAAGATTCCTGGGTGGAGAAGGTCTGTGCTTACTCTTGTCCTTTCACAATTTCACCTTAAACACATAAAAGGAATCAACGTACATGTGATAACTTGTCTACTCGTGTCATTTACTTCTCGATTCTCACAATGTGAACAGCATGAAAGATTGTCAAGTGGAAGTTTACAAATTGTAAAGAACGGCAAAAAAGTGCCTATCTAAGTTAATCGATGAACTATATAAGAACTAAAACTGCTGTTCAAGTGAATACTCTACCCTTGTGCATTTTCGTTATTTAAGTGATTTCTATGTGAATATGCATTTACATGTCTAAAGGTGATAGAGTATAGTGATTTAACTATTGAACTCGATGGTTAATTAGGATTTTAATAGGCAGAAGCTGGTGCTACAATTCCAATTTTAGCAAATATTCTCAAGTTTAATACACCAATACGAGGAGTAGTACATAAATTATCTCAGATACGACTAAACATTTGAGTTGTTCATAGTACCGTCTAGCTGTTGAAGAATTATTTATTCAGTCTACCGTGCCATTGACCATGTGAAAATACCCAATTTCAGGGATGCTATGTGTGCATTATTATTGGGTATTGTGAAGCTGGTGATATGTAAGTCATCTTCCTTTTCCAAATGAACTGTTTTCTGTATATTGGACCTTAGGCCTGAGCGCCTGAATCTAGTTACTGATTTCTTTTTGCCTATATATTGTCTAATAATCTGTTCATTACTTATACAGGGCAGACGCTATTAAGAGAACGAATGGTGTTCTTTTCCCTGAGGAGGTTGTTATTAAATTTACATTTCCTTGTGATTCATATGTTCCTGCCTCCTCCAAATTTACTTCCTAATATTGAGACCATTTCATTTCCTAATTCTAAATACTGACTGGTAAGCAGAAGCTTTGTAAGTGGCTAGTTCAACTGTTGATGGCACTTGATCACTTGCATTCGAACCATATAATTCACCGTGATGTCAAGGTGAGTTGCATATCTCTTCTGTGTTATTCCATAAAGTTATTCTTTCTCTGTTTCATAGATTTGTTTGCTGATTACTTTTTTGGCGTCAGTGTTCAAATATTTTTCTGACTAAAGAGCACGATATTCGTCTAGGTAATCCCCTTACCTCGTAATTTGAAGTTGGGTATGATTGACTTTGAGTATTTATTTAAAGATCTGTTTTCAGGTGATTTTGGTCTTGCTAAAATACTATCTTCCAATGATCTTGCTTCCTCTGTAAGTAACTTGTCTGCAAAGATTCTGTATTTGTGTTTGTTTTTTTGATTAGTCTGGTGATGAGGCATATTGACTGTCAGGTGGTGGGCACTCCAACTTATATGTGTCCTGAGCTTCTTGCTGATATACCCTATGGTTGCAAATCAGATATATGGTCTTTGGGCAAGTCTTTACCTTTCCTTGCTTGTGTTGCTTCACACGGAACCACTTTTTATTTTAGATGCACGCTGTTTTGCTGACTGTTTGCATATCCAGGTTGCTGCTTATACGAAATGACTTCTCACAAGCCGGCATTCAAAGCATTTGTAAGTCATTAAATAGTACTTTCCAGACAATGAATTTCTAGTACTATCATGAGTTATATAATCAATTTCTAAATTATAGGTGCAACTGGCAGGTTTAGGGAATATTCTGGCAGCTCAGTACTTTTAAATAACCTCCAATGCTTTTAATGCAGGATATGCAAGGTCTCATTAATAAAATTAACAAATGTATAGTTGCTCCACTTCCCACCGTGTATTCTGGTGCACTGTGAGTAAATGATCTTTTACACATTTGAGGCTACCCATTTTTGTTCTTATTTCGTCAAATTGTGCTACAATTGGATTATTATATTTTTTTAAATTCTGTTGCTAAAGTTAATTTGTTTCTTCGTCAGCCGTGGCCTTATTAAGAGTATGCTAAGGAAAAATCCAGAACTCAGACCAAGTGTATGTACCCCTCACTTCCTCAAGTTCACTATTTACTTTCTAAGTGTATATTTCAGCTTCCAGAAAGGAAGTTACTGTTTGACACATCAACTCTTTTTTCACTTCAATTCTCTTTCAACTGTTCCAGGCTGCAGATTTACTCCAACATCCCCATCTTCAGCCCTATGTTTTAAAAATCCTTCTGAATTCTGACAGCCCGAGGCAGCACAAGTTCCCAGTCCAATCTTCTAATTCAACATATGCAAAGAAAAAAAGATTGTCTGAGCCGAGACATGCTCCGGTCTTTAATGAAAGAGAGCTGAGGCGATTGTCCAGTGATAGAGCTTTGAATCCTAGTATTTCTGGAATGGACTCTCCATGTTTATCCCGGAGAAAAAAAGATCTAATGAGCTCTGTGAAGAAAATTTTTTCAGAGCCATCTGTTGAAAGTGCTCCTTATGACCTTGGCGTAAAAAGTTCTGCTATCTCAAAGTTGTCGGCTGCTGTCAAAACTGTGCGATTTAATTCAAACAGAAATTCTATTCCTCACAGGAGACAGAGCACTCCATTAAAGATGTCCAATGCTGGCTCTACCCGTGAACTGGTAAGTTTCTGATCTAGTAGTATCATAAAGATCTTCAGCTTATAAGTCGAAACAAATGAATATAACTCCAGTCAGGAATTGGATATTCTTTTCCCGATTCTATATTATTGAGCTAGTACCTGTAGTTTTTCAAGGCTGGATTTTTCATTTAGACTTAAATATCTATCTACACATGTATGCAGCTTCCAGTGACAAATACACTAGTTAGCCAACCTTCCAGGTCAACACGTAGAGCATCTCTTCCGTCATCAAGAGGAGCTGCGAAGTTGGAATCACCTTACAAACACAATGTTGGTCTTATACACCAAGTGCAGTCTCCGGATGTTTCCATGAATGCTCCAAGAATTGACAAGATGGTTGATCCCTTGGCTTCTTCAGAAGACCATTTTTTACCCATCCAGAGAGCTTCACCAAAATCGACACAGTTGTCTTCCCCATCACCACGCTATAGTGACTGGTCATTCACAAAAGACAAGTGTACAGTACAGGTTGTTGACAGAACCTTCCCCAAGCCACCTTTAATTGACCCTATTCATGGAGTTGCACAGATTGGAAGTGAATGTTCAGAACATTATCCAACTGGTGCCTCAAGCCGGTCATCATCAGAATCTCGTTCACGGAAGTTTGATACATCTTCTTACCAGCAACGTGCTGAAGCCTTAGAAGGATTACTTGAGTTCAGTGCGCAACTATTGCAGCAAGAGCGTCTAGACGAGCTTATGGTGTTACTGAAGCCATTTGGGCCAGAAAAGGTTTCTCCAAGGGAAACTGCTATATGGCTAACAAAGAGTTTTAAGGAGAATGGAGTGTAACCTTCTTCTCCGTTTTGATCTTTACTGCTTATATGAACTAACGAATGCATGGGTTTTCAAAAGAGAAAAAAGAATCACAATGCATAAGGGAGAACTGTACAACATGAAAATAACCTGTTAATGAGAAGCAGAAAGAGTAATTGATTGTCTTGGGTCTTGTTGAATGTGATGTTTAAATGAATAACTTATTCATTTTTAGAAGTTTGATATAACAGTCTTTAAACTTACCTCACTATCCACAACTAATTTTTTCAATCTTCAACACAAGCAAATGAAAAAGAGTACTACGAATTGACCCATTGAGTTGACTGTTTGACACGTTAAAATCTACAAGGCATTCTAGTTTCATTGAAATTTGAAGCCATTGTTATGCAAGAGAAGTTCCATGCGTGAGATTGAAATAAATGTTGGACCAATATAGCTAAATATTTTATTCTTACAGACACCTGCTAAAAATTTCTCAAAAAGGTATTGACATAATATTTGCTTGGGCAAGAACTGTTTATTAGTTTGCAACGAAACGACGTCACTTTAGTCGACTATATATATATATTTTACGACTTGGAAATTGCAGCATTGCTACAGCGGCATAGCAACAAACGGGAAAAAAATGGAAGTAGTAGAATTGTACGAGCTTCACTATTCCGATTTGCTGCAACTCTCTTCAGAGAAATCTTTATCAGATGAATTCATTGAAGAAACTCAGCGGCTGAAATCAGCCACCAGAAGTGTAATGAAAAACTTAGGGCCAGAGGGACCAGGACTCCTCGCCATCACCGGCGTTCCAGAAGCTTCCAATCTTCGGCGAACTCTTCTTCCTTTAGCTCGAAAACTCGCTCTTCTTAATAATGAAGATCGCAAGCGCCTTCTTAAGGTCAACCTCTCTCCTTTTTTCCTCCCCTTAATATTCAAAAATCCTAATGCACGCTTAGCTAAGGATACAATGTGATGAACAAATTTTAAAAAATTGTACTATCTAATTGAGGTTAAAATTCACTTATCACACTTGTTTGCTTAAATAAGGAGAAGCTCTAGCCCTTATTATTTATGCAAATGAAATGTGCTTAAATAAAAAACCATTGGTTAGTAGGTAGGAGTGTGTCGATAGTAGTGATTTGTATTGTCTTGTTGCGCTTATTAGTAATCATAGTTCTACTCTCTTAGTTTCTTCTTCTTTGATTTCTGTTAATATATGTTCTTTCGTGTAGTTCTATTATAGTATTATTTTGATGTAGTACTGTTCTGCTACTATATGTCGTTTATGTTATTATATATTGTCTATTGTACTTCCATTCCGTCTTTTCTAGATTGATTTTGTCTTGAATCAAGGTTCTATAGGAAACAACCACTCTAACGTCGCCTCTAAGGTAAAAGGTAAGGTCTGTATACACTCTACCCTCCCAGACCTCACTTTGTGGGACTACACTGGGTATGTTAATGTTCTATTTGGAGGACCCTTATATTTGTAGGATGACGTATTAATATCATTTACCAATGTTTGAATGAAATTTGGCGACATAAAGGAGGATGGTTCACTTTTTCAAATGAGTTGGGATTGGCTATATATATTTACTGATAACAATATTTGAGGTCCAATGGGTATCTACTGTTAAATGCTTTACTCCACTTTGATTGGTGAGCATATTTATCTGCATATCCCAAATTGTTTTGCCATATTACTGCTTGAGGGTGAAGGAATGGTAATTGTTTTAAAGGATATTTTTATGACGCTTTTGAAATGTGACTGTTGCATTGTAAAAATTTGATTTTGAAAGAACAAGGATGGTAGCTAGGTTGTATAATTTGCTGCATTGCTCACTACTCTCAATATAATCATTGATCAACAGGAACAAAATCTGGGAAGTGATGTATCATTGAAGAACCCGAATAGAGATGTCTCGTCTTTTTCCATGCAATTGAAATATGAGCAATGCTATGAAAGAAGTGGTTGTCAGGTTGATGATCTAGATGTTGATAATCGGGATAGAGGAGAGGTTAATCAGGATGAGTTTAAGAATTTAGGTTGCACCTTTAAGGAGCTAGGATATTGCATGATGGACTTAGGGCTTCGCCTTGCACAAATATGTGATAAGGCCATTGGGGGCCAAGAGCTGCAACAGAGCTTATTAGAGTCTGGCACAGCTAAAGGGCGTCTGATCCATTATCATTCTGCTGTTGACAATGATATTGTTAGAGAAGATGCTAAAAGAAATGGACAGTCTAAAGGAAGAAATGGGAAAGCCAATAAGAATGAGCAATTAGGTCTGAAGCAGCAAGGAATTGAGTCATTGAAAGACCAGTCAAATGACTATGGTCTGTGGCAGCAGTGGCATTATGATTATGGTATTTTCACTCTTTTAACAGTTCCCATGTTTCTGTTGTCCTCTCACCAAGAAGCACCAGCAACTATAAATAATGATTCACCTGTTTCTTCTAAGCATGAATTTCCTTCGCCCGGTGGGCACACATATCTTCATATATTTGATCCCAAAAAGAATCAGGTCTTCATTGTAAAGGCACCTTCAGAGAGTCTCATTCTGCAGGTTGGAGAAGCAGCTGATATATTATCTAAGGGGAAGCTACGAGCAACACTTCATTGTGTTTGTAGACCACCAAAGGTTGATAACGTGAGCAGGGAAACATTTGTTGTTTTCTTGCAGCCAGCATGGAGCAAACAGTTCTCTCTTTTGGATTACCCGCTTGAACTTTTTGCTTTAAGTGGTCAGCAGTGCGGGGTATGTAGCAAGGGAACTGAACAGTCTAGGCAGGTCCCTGAGGAATTAAGTCATGAGATTCAAAAGATTGTTCCACCACTTTTGTCGAGGCTGAAAGATGGGATGACGTTTGCAGAGTTTTCTCGCGAAACTACAAAACAATACTATGGTGGTAAAGGTTTACAGTCCAACAAATAGGTGAGTAGTAATCATTTCTTTTGCTTCGCACACGAACCTATAACTTCAGTATATAATAGCGTATTTCTTATTTTTATCTTGGATTCAGGTTTTCTGTGTATATCTTTATATGGCCAGAGGTGCCATCCAGCTTGATAATGTCAAACTGGTGGTTGCAAAGTGTCACTGTCAACTTCTCCGTCTCAGGTAAAGAGGGGGCGGCGTGCTCTTGTACTGTTAGGAAGTGATTTCACTTTCTATGGCAACTCTGTCTTTGGAACTTCGGCAATAGCCCGGTTTTGTGTCAATGGTTCAATGTACCTCAGGAAGAGAGAACAAGTCACTGCAACTTGCAATGACTGCTGAAAGCTAAGAACATATTCTTGTGACCTCTACTTGGGATACCTTTGCCACTCTAAACTTTGGATCTCCGAGATCTACCTTAAATTTACGTCCTAGTCATAGGTTTTTCTTTGTGTGTTACTTGCAGATAGCCAGAAGGTAGGCGCGAATGGGGTTTACAAGCTTGGGCCTCATCCGCATAACTACAGGTACGTCTGACTTAACGGAAATGCTCGCCTGGTTTTGGACTTGCATTAGGACTGGCTCAATGCCCTATTATTCTTCATCATGTCTAAAATAATGGTGGCATGTTCAATTAAGGAAGAAAATCAAATAAGTTAGTCATTTAAATGTTACCGTTTACGAAAGAAATATTGGAATATCCGTAAGTACAATGTGTGAATTTCTTAAAGATGTGCTAATATTAACAACTCATAATTAAATAGTGTACATTACTAGTTTCAAGTTAGTTAGTTAGTTAGTTGTATTTCCATTTTATAGTTGCTTGTTGTGATGGTTAGTTACATAACAAACTAGTTGGTTAGTTAGTTATTATCTTCCACTTGCTTGATTCATTTAATCACATGTGTATATATACATATCATAAGTGATGAATGAAAGTAATCAAAAACTTCCACATTTCAATCACAAAGCCTTGTATTGTTAGTCTTGGTTTTCATTCTCGTTCAGGGAAGTTTGCAACTTCATCAATGACTGCACACACTTCAGTTTGAAGGTGTCTTTACATGGTATCAGAGCACACGGTTAATTGCTCTTTTCTTAATTCTTTGGTTACTCATTTTTTTGATTGATTCTCGATCGATAAACAGAGTTGGAAGTCGCTGTGTTAATACATTTTGATTTCTTTCTGAAAGTTCATCTTTGCTCTCTTTCTTTTTCCTAATCGAATAGTTCATAATAGTCATAGTTGTAATGGCTATCGAAACTACTACATCCACGTCTGCATTTGAGGGATCTGTGGTATCTGGAAGTGATGCAAATGGTGTTTTGTATGTGCATCCTTCAGACAATCCAGGAATGATACTTGTTCCTGTTCAGTTTGATGGAACAGGATATAGGACCTGGAGAAGGGGTGTTATGAGAGCATTGTCAGTAAAGAACAAGTTATGTTTCATTGATGGAAGTTGTGAGAAACCAAGCACCAATTCACCTCAATTACGTCAATGGCAGAGGTGTGATGATATGGTGACATCTTGGATTCTAAACTCTTTAGTCAAAGAAGTTTCAAACAGTGTGGAGTATGTAAGCAATTCTGCTGAGTTGTGGAAGGAGTTGGAAGATAGGTATGATCAAACCAATGGAGCGAAATTGTATCAAATTCAAAAGGAGATCAATGATCTCACACAAGGAGTTTTGGACATTACTGTCTATTACACAAGAATGAAGAAGTTATGGGAAGAGTTGAATACTTTGAATGTGAAGAATCACTGCAGTTGTGTCTGTGCGTGTGGTGCAAAGGATAGTATATTCAAGGCTGAGCAAGATAGGCGCCTGATTCATTTTCTTATGGGGTTAAATGAAGTGTACACAGTGATAAGAGGAAATATTCTCATGATGAATCCTCTTCCTTCTATGGGCCAGGCTTTCTCATTGTTAATCCAAGAGGAAAAACAAAGAGAGTTCAAGCCTGTTGGTAGAATATCTACAGATTCTGTGTTTTGAATGTTAAAGCTGTTGATAACAAAGGTCATGGAGGAAGATCTTTTAGAACAAATTTTCAAGGAAACAATTATGGAAATGGCTATGGAAATCTTGGTGATACCAATAGTAGTTCAGGAGGAAATCACTATCCAAGTAATTGTAAAAGACCTGGACACATCAAGGATAAGTGTTACAAGCTGCATGGGTATCCTCAAAACAATAACAGACCAGGTAGTCACAATGGTGGTCAGGGCTTTAGACAACAAGGCTCAAATTACAAAGGAAGGAGAGTGGTAGCAAATGTACATGGTTCTGTAGGTGATATGGTACCTGCTAATGGAGAAGAACAATCACAATTTCAAGGTGTTGTTCTAAAGAATATTAACTTCACAAAGGAACAATATGGACAGATCATGAATCTACTGCAACATTTCAAAAATGAGAATGTGGGAGAAGATACTAGTGCCAACAATAATGCTTCTGGTGTGGCTGCTGGATCAATGAACTTTGCAGGTACTGTGGTTTGTTCTTCCTTTACTGTTTTTGACAACCTATCATGCAAATGTTTTGAATCAAGTGCAAATCTGTGGATCATTGACTCAGGAGCATCAAACCACATAACCTTTAGTAAAAACTCTCTAATCAATATTAAAACTCTGCCTATTCCTATACTAGTTTCTCTTCCAAATGGATACAAAGTCAAAGTAACAGAGTTTGGAGATGTACCAGTCACATCTAGTATTACTTTACATCAAGTCTTATATGTGCCTTCTTTTAAGTATAATCTAGTTTCAGTTCATTCACTAACTAATAAAATGAAATGCATAGTCTTGTTCACTAATGCATTGTGTCTATTGCAGGCCCCTTTAGTGAAGAGGCCACAAGTTCTTGGTAATTGTAGAGATGGACTTTACTTCTTATGCACAAAATGCTTGAAGACTTCTGATAAAGTCAATACATGTCAAATATGCTGTTGTTTTCCCAATAATAGTCTTCTTTCTAGTTCCATTAGAAGTGAAACATGTAATTCTGGTTCCTATTCTCATGACCAATACAAAGTGTTAGCTTCTAATCCTGTTACTTTCAAGTGTAAATCTTCTTTCAATATGAATGTTATGGCTGATCACAACTCTGGAGATAATGTAGATTTGTTGTGGCACAACAGACTTGGCCATGTACCTTTTGTTAAGATGAAAAGTATCACTGGATTACCAGTCAATTTTTCTCCCAAACAACCTTTCTGCTGCAATATTTGTCCAATGTCAAGACAACAAAGACTACCTTTTAGTCATAGCACAAGCCAAACCAAGTCTATTTTTGAACTGTTACATATTGACTTATGGGGACCTTATCATATATCCACTTATGACAACTACAAATATTTCATTACTTTGGTAGATGATTACAACAGAACAACTTGGACACATCTTTTAAGTACTAAGAGCAATGCTCTACAAGTTTTGAAAAATTTTATAGTCATGATAGAGAATCAGTTTAGTACCACTCTTAAAAGCATTAGAACAGATAATGGGCTGGAATTTACTT